AAAGTTACACAGCACATCCAAATGGCCCATTTAGAAGGCTGCCCAGGAGAATACCAGCATGGAAAAGACTGCAGCTGTATGGGCTGCAATGAAATTCAGTGTCACTTCCTGCAGAACATCACTGCAGCAACACTGGGGGGTTTTTGTTCTAGGAGAAACACCTTATTGGAAACTGTTCAAGTTTCTTCTATATTCTCCCTTATGAAAGAGGAAGATATTTAATTAATTTTAAAGTTGGCACTGACTAATATCCCAATTAACAACACTGAAATCCCTTATGGTACTGTTCTGTGAATGTTTCCTAAAGAATACTGGAATGTGCCAGAAAGAACTAAGATAATACTGATCATGTCCACAATATGCTAAATAAGCAGCTTTAAGCTTGCTTAGAAATTGCTGATAAGTAAGCAAGCTTAATAGAAAAAACTGCTTAAAAGACTTAGGAACTGCTTAACACAAAATCTATTTGAATTCACACTTACCAAATGACAGCCTAAAATTAAGAGAAAAAGGCGGGAAGATTTTTTTTTAATGCATTAAGACAAAGTTGCCTTTTCTCTATTTCACACAATAATATAACTCTACAGATAAACAACACTATAACCACATTCAAATGTTTTATAAAAACTCTTCGGATTCTTGCTCCTGCATTCAAGCTCAGCTCTGTTGGAGCAAAATGGGAAACAAGGATATTTCCAGGTTAGTGGTAAATGATATTTCTCAGCTGAAACCTGGAACCAAACGTCCACCATCAGACTAAATAAAATATCAACCAGCTGACTTGTATGTGGTTTCTGTAGGAAAAAGAGTCACTCTGCAAGTCTGATTCATATCCTATATGTATTTGTACATTAGATTCATACATTTCAAACATTCACACACTTTTAGATAAGAACACAGTAGCGATATCAGAAACATCTAAATTCCTCTTAAAAAGATTTAGAAATGTCAGTGCTGAGCAATAGATTGCTCTTGTGTGCAGAGGAGTAAAAACACATACTTGAACCCAAGATTCTCCAGTTCCTGAGCTGTTATCTCCAAGAGAGTAAACCTCTAGAGTACATCTCCACATGACACATTTATCTAAAGTGGCTGCACACATATAATGATGGCTTTTGTTTAGTGATCATGGTCATTTTGAGTTTGTTTAAATACTGCAGCCAAATGCTTATAAACTAATCCCAGAACATTTTGAAATGCTTCAAAGCTTTTAGCGGGGGAACCTCTTGCATAGGCTTTGCAGATGAAGCTGACCACAGTTCACTGGAACCAGCCAGCTCAGATAAGTAAGATGAAAGCAGACATTTCCTGAAAATATCTTGAAAGCTTTCCATTAGTCTGTGCCAGGGGTATACACTAAAAACAGAAAGTGCCCATGTTGTATAGCAACCAATCCTCCCACTGCTTTCTCCATTCTTTCTTGAACTACTGTATTTATATCTATTTATCTGCTTCATTTGGTATCTTGCAAAGTTCTTTGGCAGAAAAAGATGCAACTTCTGCATTCCAGTTTACAATACATTATAAAGCAGTTATTACTACAACAAAAAATTCTATTTAACATACTAAACAATGTGACAGGAAGAAATCGGAATCAATCAATGCCAAAATTACTACAGATTACAAATATGTAAGAAATTTGATGTACAGATAATTTTTAAGAGTCACACACTCCACGACAGGCATGAATAGCACTGTTTGAACATAAAGCTCTGGCTGTCAAAGTGTACTCTAACAAGGTCCATTCAGCATTGCTGAATGTGCTCTATTCAAAGGAGTGCCTCAGGCTAGATTTTCAATAAAGGCAGAGACTGGCTGTGTTCATATTTTATACAATAATTTGATTGAATAAAAACAACTGTTCACTAGGAACATGCAATACTCCACTATTGAAATTGCCAACATTTTATACTTTGAGACATGTCACACTGTCCAGTTCCAGGCACTTTATTTCAATGAATGAGAAGCCCAGGTTTCTTTCGTAGTCAGTGGACTCAAGGGCACATAAGTACTTTCAGCAGCTTTTCAAGGACCTGCAGACTATGAAGGGCACCTAGGGTCTAATTTAAGCACCAAAATTAGGCATTAGTGATATCTATTATGGTGCATCCTCTAAAGAGTTAATATGCACACTCAAAGAGAGGAGAGCACTATCATACCATAATACACTAGAATTCAATACAGCCATAATGCTAACAGTCATTCTGTCCAGTACCTTACCACAAAAAGGCTTGGGGCACTCTGAAATGCACTGTGAAGTTAAGAACACCAAGTCCTCAGCACACACTAGCCATACATGTTTGAGAAGGAAGTGGTGAGCCACAACATTGATGCACAAAATTGGATGCAAGCAAAGTCCAACAGTTGCTACTTGAAACAAAACAACCTTGTCCCCTTTAACACAAAACAAAAAATACTTGAAGTCTTAGATTTTTTTGAGGTATACCTTGAAACCCATGCTCACTCTGCCTTCTTGCAATCTCTGCACCCTGGGATACCTGTAGTATGGTGTGGCACCCACCTGGGAAGAGCAAGCATTACCCTCTACCAGGGAGCTGCTTATGCAGCTTTACTGGTTAGTGTTAGCAGTAAAAGAGTTGTGGAATCAACAGAAATATGACTGATATGTCATACCTATGTCTGAAACATCACAGGTCAGGACCTGTAAATAAATGTGAAAGCATGGCTGAAGCTACCAAAGACCCCCTCTGACTCAGGCCCACACAACTCTATGATCTAAATAATAGCAGATGTGCTACAATGTGCATAATGTCTCAGTACAACTAAGGGAGAAGACTTAAATAGGGTGTAATTCTTTTTATGAAAATTATTATTAATATATGACAGGTTCCTTGGCAGACTGCAGGAAGTGAGAAAGGACTTGAATGAGGACCTGTGAGGGGTTGTCCACATCCTCAGTCACCTTTCCCTGCACAGTCCTGGCTTCCACTAAATACTCAAGCTTGATTAGAATTTCCAAATAATTAAATGTTCTGCTTTAATCTTTTTAGAAATAATGTAAGATGCATCATCTTATTAGAGGAATTTTAACACTCATTCTATCCCACCTACATTCTTCCACATTCTCCCCTAAGAGGAAGCTGAGAGAAGTTATTAAAAATCTCAAGATCATGTGCTTGCAAGAACCTTACAATAAGCAGAAATCAGCAGCGGTTTTATTTATGATTTCACTAATATTATAAATACAATCTACTCTTTTAATAATCAAATGTAATTAATTTCTTTAGTAAGCAAAGGTAAAAAGAGACTTGGTTGTCTGCTTATTCTGACTGCTACCAGGACTGCCTACTGCTTGTATAACATTTTAAAGCAGCTGTAAAACAATCATTACTTATGTAAACATTTACAGCTCATCATATGCAGAGCCCAGCTACATATTTTAACTTCTGATCAAAAAGAGACACCACTTCCTTAGCTGTACAGAAACTACTTGAAAAATTCATAAGATCTGTTTCACAAATTACCAATTCAACCATAAGAATATATAGTAAAAATGACAAAAGATTTGTTCTTATAGTTGATAAAAAATTTATGCCAAGGCATTCAAGTAAAGTTACTTTCTGTGTTCTGATTTAATGAATCATTTGAGCGGTATCTGGCTGGGTGACACAGATGTAAGGCTCGCTGAAGCCTGCTCTAATGCCTGCTGGTACCATCTTCCTTGGGACAGCAGAGCCAGAACAATGTGTCAGACTGAAGTAATATCAAGGAAAGTAAGTGCAGTGCTGGGCATGCCACGAGCTGGCCCACAATACTTCCTGACCTGTGAATGTCTCTAAGTAGCTCTCTGTCCTACAGGCTCCAGTGACCCAGGAAGCCCAAAAGAAGCAGCAGCAGCAGCGCAGTCATGAACAGATTCGGAAATAAAGATTTTTGCAATCTCGTAATTCAAGCTCAAGACATACAAAGATTGATTGATGGTTTAACCCTAATGGAAGGCAGAGCCTCACACTGTGAAACCACCAGTGATTTCTTAAACATTTAACATTAGTTCACCTTTTAATACAAATTTGTGTTTGTTTAACGCACTGCAAAGTTTGTGTCTTTAACCTCAGAAAAGCACACGAATTTGCAAAATACTAATTAAGGAACTCATTTCACTTGATGCATATGAGTACAGATTTTACAGATCACGCTTCTGCATAGAAGTACTGAAAGACACTGTAATACAATCAGGCTTCTCATTAGGGAAATTATTGTAAAGAATTTAATTATACAGTAAGTAAAACAAAGCTAAGGAGGACTGTAGGCACTGTGGTACTTAACCAACAAAGCTAATCCTCATAAAAATAAAATACTGGTTGCCAGTATTCCTTGGGAGGAATTCTCCTGCTAAAAGAAATTTTCCCTCCAAAAGAAGTTTGCTAGAATACTTATACATATTTAGAAGCACACATATCTTTAGAGAAATAACTTGAGTTTAATCAAAAAAGTGAAACCTTTAAAGTAATTAGAAGCAAAATGAGAAATGAAAAGCCTAACAGTTATGCCAAATCCAAATAGCACAATACACATGTCATTTTATCCTAATGTCAGAGAGGGGAAAAATGCATGTCAGCAGCAAATGGAAGAGGGTGAATTATACTCCTACTTCATCCTGCAAGGTCTCTTTAAAACCCCCTAAAGCTTAGTTTTTCTTCTTTTTTTAACATCAATTTGTCCATTGATAACATTTGATGCAAGGGGGACAACTGTCCCCCTTGACAATATGCCAAGAAAATTTTGTTCATTTGCATGAAAGAAATATTTCTGTTGATTCCACAGTTAGTTCCATGAAATCTTTCTTTTCTTTTACATCTTGTTCCAAGAGGCTAATGAGACAGTTGCACATAAGAATATTTGACATTTAAGGGTACTTACACAGATAACAAAACAATAGCAATGAGAGTCCATTCAGGCATTCTGTGTATAATATTTCTGTTTGTTAACCTGAAAAATAATTTTTAAAAAGTCAGTACATTCAGAAGTAAAAGTAAGCGGATCTTAACAGCTGAATTGTAAGTCTACCATTAATACACCAAGTTAAAAAGATGCAGTTACAGATGTATCTGAGCAATTCACCAGCTCTTAAGCTTCTGTCATCCTCTAATGGAGGAACTGCAGAATTTTCAATGTCCCCTTTTTTAATATGAAAGTGGGATGGGGAAGACTGAACAGAAGCTATTTCTTTTAAATTGCTCACAAATAGTCCTGGCTGCTATGAGAGCCCAGCTCTCACTCAAACCCCTGGGAAATTCTCCAGAACTGACATGAGTTTCTCAAAAATGGACCTTCTTACACTTAGTTTCTCTCCTGTTGGCTTCAGATCCAGATCTGTTGTAAAAGCTGATGTGGACACAGACTGAATTTTATAAGGCGGCAGTGACAATTCTCTGATGAGTCTGTGTCTCAACAATCTGAGTTTTGTTCAATTATGAAAGGAAAAACAGTGTTTTGCACTACATACAAAGGAACTGTCACATCAAACCAGAACGAAGAGTTCTGGCAAATACTGATGACATTTGTTATTAAAAGGTTAATTTTAGCAATTATTATTTGAAATAGCCAATGGATTTAGCTGGCAACAAAGTTTGTACCTGGTAAACTGAATAAGAGATTAAACAAAGGCTGAACATCTTGACTCAACACTGATGACAGTGATAAACACTACCAAGAAATGCCTGATGGAATCATCTTGACAGGCAATTCATATGTAACATTCCAGTTAATCTGTTATGATGAGACATAATGAAAGAGACAGCTCCAAGCCACCTGGGGAAACTCTGTCAAATAGAGAAAGCAGCTTTATTTCAATGCTTTACAAGGAGTTATTATTGATTAGAGCACAGGAAAGTGTCATTCTCGTACACAAACTGAGAGATGCAGTTATTTGTGTCAATTAACTCTTATTCAATGTTAGTATTGATTGGCAAGGTCTGAACACTAGTCATTGCCATCAATATGCTATTTCTGAAGGAGGTAGTCAAAAGACACAGATAACCAGCAGGACACAGCAGTATGGATCTGCTGATGTGGTACAGCCACTGCACTGCATGAACAGTCAGGCTTCTGCAACTCAGTAACCTCTCAGTACACCCGTGCAGCTGAAAACACTTGTGCAGCTGGAAAAAAACAAACATTTCAGAGAGGGCAGAGTAAAGCAAGCAACCTACAGGTGTGAAGCCTTAAATAATAAGGAGCAGTGGAAGGGCAGTCACTTTAAACAAGCTCTGTGTCAACACCAAGGCCTCTGAAGAGCAAAGCTTTCTGACAACAGGCAACTGCAGGGCCTCTGTAGAAATGGTTCATTAATTCTTTGTCTTGCCTCTAGCCAAAACTGTTACTTCAGAACAATCCATGAAAGAGGTCACTAGATTTCTATTCTAAAAATATATTGTGGAAATGTTAAAACTGTACAAAACTTTGTGTGTCTGATTTCAGTTTTGCAGTGAAATCTTTTCTGTTCAAAGAGTTTGGCCAAATTCTCCCTCACCTACCTAGAGAAAGAAAACAATATGCAACTTCCCAAAACAGAATGTGCCATGTGCCCACTTTCTTGCCTAGGGCAGGATACACAAGCTAGGAAAGTTGGATGATCCCAAATAGCTGTGTGGGTTGTTCAGTTGCTGGTTTGTGGGTCTTGTGGTTCCCTGCAGCAAGACACGCTGCAGCCACTCAGCAGCACCCAGGCCATTCTCACACTGTGAGGGAGCCTGACTGAGCACGTGGATCCAAGTGGCAGAAGCTTCCAGGGTAAGGGCCTAGAGAAAGATGCATAAAAATTCCATCTCAAATGACGTCCTGATAACTGACTCGTGCCCAGCCTGCAAAGCAAGAGAATTCCAATAGGGAAATTGTAGGAATCCAGAGTAAATAAAACCAGTAAATCCAGCATATTTGCAAATGCAGCAGCCTACATCCTACGTTCAGTTTCCCAGGTATGGGCATATACAGCTACACTTCAAAGATCTGTCCATTCTGTAAATCTGTAAACTGATTTCATGGCATTAGGATGCAAAGCTGTGACTTCAGGGGATCTCAGCTAGCTGTATTTTTTCCAAAATTTACACTAAGATGAGTGAAGTTTAACTAACCCAGGGCAGCACAGGCAAATACTGAAGCATATGGTGTTTTTCTTTAGGTTTCAACTCAACCAATTCAACCATAAAAGGCAGCTTTTCTACCTCCTGGAAAACAGCAACATATTTACATACTGTAATATCATTTAGTTTGATGACAACCAGCAAAAATAAGTCACTATTTAACTTCAGGTTTCTTTCGAGAGAAACCTAGTTACTTGAGAAAACATCATTAACAACCTGATACACCCCTATGTCCACACAGAACTTCATCTATGACCAAGTACTAATTATTGACTTGAAACCCAGAACTCAAAATTCCACTTAACAAGGGTAATACTAAAATAGGTATAAATAAGTGTATAAGCCAGATAACATATATTCAGGATACATAAAAGCTAAAAGACTGTCTTGGACACATGACAAAACCAAGTTGTAACAAGAAGTCTTGAACACATCTCACTTCTGATTCATCAGTAGAGTTCAATGTCAATGACAAGCCCCATAAGGGGAATTAAAATACTCACAGCCATAAAATACAGATGAAATCCTATTTTCAAAAGGAAGTATTATGCCTTTAAAAAACCCAACCACACATTCAAAATCATTTTTCCTCAATTTATATATAAGAAGCTAATTTTCTCTAGATCTTTTAACAAAGTACCCTTACACACTCTGGAGAATTATTTGACATCTCAGTTTTCTTAACAAAAGCTTACAGGCACTGAGGGACTTTGTTTGGGAAGAGCTCTAACCATTCTAAAATGTCTCTTGAGATCTCTCTAGTGTGTTTCTTAGCAGTGGTGATTGAATAAATGCTGCCCAAAGGAGGCTGAACTGCAAGTGTTCCTTTAAAAACCAATGGAGCTGAAAATCGTTGTTGCTGAGTTCACCACATGCTCTTTTACCCTTCTTCAGCTAAGCCCTACTACAGCCATGTGTTTTATCTACTACCCTTTTTGGCAAGCTCTTCAGCCTCAAATATCTACAGTACAAAAAGCAGGAAAGAGCACGAGCATTTATCAGTGCTTTTCCATTATCATTAAGCATTAGAACAACATTAAGAAAGAAAGTAACATTTGAATTTCTATACCCTGTAAATACAAATACCATTTAAAATTTATGCCAAGTCTCCCTGCCAAAGCATTCAGTCCAAAACTTAAGAGACTACTAATAGTAAATAAACTTAAACCTGTGTACCAAACTGGACATTCAAGTCTATGCCTTCACCTTAATATCCATGAGCTAGCTCTTGTGTACCAACAGACCCCTCCACATCAGTAATGCAAGACAGAAAAAGGGCCCAAAGGTTTTTATTCTTCCCTATTTCCTGTATTTTTGTATTATTTTGCTATGAGTGACAACAAAACTCCCTTTACTTTGAGATATATATTATATTAAGGCTTTTAAAATTCTTGTATAGTGCCCACAAATATCTTTAACCATCCCCCACCCAGAATCCTGAATTTCTAAGCAGCTTGATCTGGAGCCTTCACAGTAAGAGAACCCCAAGAAGTTGCTACCATTACCTTCAACTTACTTCCTAAGAAAAATGACACAAAAAATAAACTCACAAAGTGTTATCTAAGAGTTCAAAACAGGTTAGGGGGGGCCTTTAAATTATGATGAACTACTGCTGCATGAACCAGGTATTGGGTTAAAGTCCAAATAAATCTGATTTGGTTCTATGCTGTAAACCCACAAGTGTGTGTGTATATACATACAGATACACGTATGTGTTTTAGAAGTCTCTTTTGGTTTCAAGTCTCATTTGCTATAAACCACTGACAACTTTATATTCACGCCCCATTGTCTCTGAATAGCTAAAGTAATTTAAAATAGAAGCTCTGTTTTTGAGAACCTCTGGGCCTTCTTAGATAATCAATCATTAAAAAGTAGTTTGAAAGACACCAAATATAGTTTCTCCACTTTTATCAATCCATAAACTGAAGTGACTGCTAAGTATTTAAACTGCAGAGCAACTAAACTGTTTTAAGACACTAAGATCTTTCTCAAACAACAGGTATCTATACACTATATGCAAAAACATTTTCACTGGTTTCAGTGGTGTTGTTAAACGAAAAGGCAAGTCAGAACTTAAAAGACTGCAATCACAGAAACAAATTCACATAGTATCAATGTTTTTATTTAAAAGAGATCATGCACAGAGTTACCAGAAAGGAAGAGAGAACCTTCCACAGGAAGAAATCTTGCAGACAGACATCTGTGTTTTAGTGGTGTCCTTCCACACACAGCATTAAATCATAAGAAATTGGGTAGAGCTGGTTTCTATTCACCAAAGCCCAGATTCCTTGTGGCAAATGCTACATGAATGAGTTTTGGAAAACTCATGTAAACCTCATGCAGGTTGAGGATGTGCAAAGGATGTTTCAAGAGTGACAATGTACACACAGTTAGCAACTGCTATTGCTTTTTTTCTGCCAATACTTGAGGACACAATCTAGGTCCAGGTTATGAGAGTTGTCTCCCAAAGAAAACCTAAAAATGTTCAGAGAAGTTACCATTCTCTTTGCCCTCCTTTACCTCACTATTTCCAAATACTGTCTTTAGTTCTACTGACTGAAGCAGAAGCTTCACCTATGGTGATGGAAGTGCCCACTAGATCTACTTCCCTTTGAAATCAGGAACAAGACAGATCCAACTGACTGACTCTAGAAGTTAGTGGTAAAAATTATTAATCAGTTTAAAACCATTTAGCCCAGCTGCAGGGAGCTAGAGCAAAAGAAAGGGACAGATCTCAGAAACTCACGCTTAATAGGAGGTGACGAGGTAGCAGAACCTTTAAAAGACTTACCAACATCCTCCAGAGACCACTGGCCTAGTTTTTAAAAATCTACAAATACTCCTGGTGACCTAGCCACTGTCAGGAGCAGGGAAAGGGCTGACTTGTTAGTCCACAGGGAACGTGACATCACCTACATGAACACACAGCAAGAGAAGGGCAAATCTGCAGTAGGGCCCTCCTCTCTGTGCCCAAATCACAAATCATTCAACAGCAAGTTTAAGTCATCAATTTATAAAAATCTCCAAGTAAAGACCAATACTCACCGGAAAGTTTTGACAAGATTTTTTAGCTCTGTGTAGACATCACCTGAAGCAATGTGAAGAGGGCCCAAAACTGCAGATAATCTAGAAGGCAAAAGACACCAGTCACTATAGATTTTCCTCTCTTTCTCATTTCTTCTGAAGTAGGCCTTCTACCAAAGCTTATCAAGGTTAGTAAAAAGGAAAAGAGATTGACTTCTGTGCAGCAGGTCAGGCCTCTAGTTTTCATTTCAGCTCTCTCTGTGCACTGTTTGAGCCAAAATCTTCACTTCACAACCACTTGTTTTTAAAAATAAGAAGCTCTAGTTCTGTGTGAATGAGAAGATTTAAATATAATTCTACAAACATATACTTACTAGTTTCACCTTTCAGTTCTGAAAAAGTATTTTTACAGTTATGAGGATTAGAACTACAGGCCTTATAAATTTTTTTGAAGGTTTATATTTACTTGGCTCAAAAATAACAATACAAAAGGAAGCTGCTTGTCTAAATGGGGTATTCACACATAATATACCTGCTAACCTCAGACTCACACAGATGCAATAGAAATGTCAGTCCACTGTGAGATTGGTAGATGAAATCTACATGATAGTTACCAGAAAAATTCAAAAGAAAGAAAAGGACAGGTTTTCTCCTTACTTATCTGTGCATAAAAAGGATAGACCACACAAACTGCACATACTCTTTAACCAGTTGTCAGCATTCCCAAATGATGGAAATAACATCCTTTGTTTTTCACATTTAGGATTAAACTTTTGCCTCTATTTACTTGTTAAATAGTTAAAATTCTCTTGTATTTGAATATCCAGTGATTTGCATTTATATGCACATAACACTTACTGCATCAGTATTCTGGAAGACTGCATGTTTTACAAAAACTGAACACAGGATTCTTATGTTGCTGGGCATATTCATTGCTTTATCACAAGGAAAATTATCTCTTGATTGTGACAGAACAACTGCATCAGCTCAGGAAATTTAAAACAATCAACATTTACTGACAATACACTTGGGGGATGGTTTGATTCCGTATTTGTGGCCTATCCACACATGGTGCAGGTAGAGAAAAACAGAAAGGATTTTCTTTTTATGGGAGATGGGGGGTTGGTTGTGAGGTTTTAAGTTAAAAAAAAAAGGCTTCTGCAAAACCTAGTTTGGCTAGGTAACACAAACTACAATGAAAGAAAAGTAAATACTCCTACCAAAACCAACAGAATCATGACCTTCAGTCATTTATCTGCACTGGCTTGACAATGAGAATATTTTCAAGATCCTCCCAACTTTGACAATTTAATAATTCTAACAGCTACATCAGAAATGCCTTAATCTCTTCTGTGTGACTCCAAAGCCCTTTAATGTAGGTCTGATGTTTGCAAAGTTTTAAGATCCAGTTCTGAGGGCTTTTAGTGGTTGCAGCTAGAGGCATACTGATACCAGCCATCCAAACATGCATTAGAAACTCTCTCTTTGTAAGACCTATGCTTAAACAATTACAAGCATTTGTTTACAAGTAACAGTATACTTAATGTACAAGTATTTGAACTCCTCTCAATAATTTTCAAGTTTTTCTGTCTAAACTTAAGTAGTTGGTACCTACAGACTGCAAACTCGCACTTGCAACTGCACTACAGCTGACTGCTGCAGAAATAAGTAAGTCCTCCTGAACTTAAGTAGTTGGTACCTACAGACTGTGCAAACTGGCACTTGCAACTGCACTACAGCTGACTGCTGCAGAAATAAGTAAGTCCTTTAGGGAAACAATGGGCTTCATCTATGACTAGGGCCACCCAGAAAGAGCCAGGCCCATCCTTGCATGTGTTTGTTACTTAAAACAAAAAAAGTGATGAACAAGCATGAACTTCAGACTGACATTCACCAAAATAAAGGGTACTTACGCTTTTCTCAGTTTTTCAAGGACAATTCGCTTCCTAATCTGCATTTGTGCCTTTGAATCAACAAGTGGGAAGGTGAGATCTTCCTGTTGATCATCCTGTATTAGACAAGAAACTTTAACAGCTATAACCTAGTGTTTAGCTGAAGTCAGTACACCAAAAAAGTCACAGACAATCAATAAATATTTAAACACTAAATAACGCTTATCTCTGAAAAAGACAACCCCAAACAACCATTTTTTAATGGGCAGACACTTGCATAATGTGATGCAACATACAGTATGCAGCTAATGGTACTTTCTCTTTCTCCATGTGAGATACTTATCCACTTATGACAGCAGAAACAAAGTAGTAATTCTTTGAAGGTCTATTCAGGCTTCACACAACCTCCACACTGTTACACCAGACACTTACTTTGTCTTTGCTTGGATGTCCCCCTGCTTGCGCTTGCCTCGCTGCCTCCTCAGCCAAGACACACCTTCCTTTATAGAACTCTCTCACTCGGATTTCTAGGAACTCTGTTTCTTCTTTTAATTTTTCATAACTAGGCGCAGACTTAACTATTCCACCTGAGCCTGTGAAAGGTAAAGAGTAGTTCAAACTGTTTTCAGACTCCCCTCCAGCAACAGTGTTGAGATCATCAGCTGTATCTAAGTCATCCTCATCAAGCTCTTCAGTCTCCTGGCTGACAGATGCTATGCACTCTGATGAGCCCAAAGAAGTATAGTTTGGGCCATAGAGAAATTTTAAAGTTTCCTCAGTTCTCCATTCCATAAGTGTTTGCCTAAGCACATCTAGTAAACTGCCTTTAGAATTAACTGGATGCCTCAGTTCAGGGTTTTTATGTTCTGTTGACTTAGCTAATATTCTTTTAACATGTTCCGCTCCTCTTTTGCTCACACCTAGAAAAACTATCTGTGATCCACATGTATTTTCAAAGATTTCTGAAGCACTTGATCTCCCAGGAGCAGTATTGTCTGAAGGTGGTGCAGTTACTTCATTATGAACAGAGCAAGTGTGTCTTTCTTCCTGAGTGTCTAATTTACAATGAGAGAGTTGTTCAGTGGCTTCTACCACATCTGCATCTTCAGTTTTAGGGCTGGCCTGGATCTTCTGAGCATGCTTCTTTTTGAGGATGCTTTTTCTGTGCAGTTGCTGTGCAAAACTGGCTGAACTTGACTGACTTCCTGGTAGGACAGAAGAAATAAATTCTTGTTCAGTATCAGTACTGCTGTCACTGGCTGTGTCGTGAGAACCAGGTTCACATGGATCTGAAGATATCCTAGGGTTTTCAATGTCAGATGCTTTAATTACTTCATCACGTAGTTTCACCTCTTCTCCAGACCGTCCACTACAATAGAAAACACAAGTCATCAGTGAAATAAGAAATGGCTTTTAACTGCAATAGTTTCTCATTCTCATGTAAGAATGATAAACAAAGCATTTTTCCCCTTATAACAAAAGTGTAATTTTTTGCCTTAAGAATCACAAGTGTTCTTCTAAAAGCCTTCTTGAACTCTAAGTTGTACTAGTCTGCAATCAAAATGACAAGTGAGTTCTCAGCTGATTATTGGTAGTTAGAAAAGAATAGTACAAACAAGATATTATTACAGACAGCAGAACAATGTCAGACTTAGCATCATGAATAGTGCAAGTTTAAAATGAAGACAGGCATGTTAACATATATAGGAATATAGTACCCTTAAATCAGGGGGACAGCTGAGCTGTTTCAGCATATATAAGTTTGCCACCTAATGGCAATGTGTTGCTAAAGAAAACAAAGTTGCACAATGCACAAACGAGGTACAGTGAGATGACAGAGTAGCATGATTTCATTTTGGCTCATATAAACCTTTTAGATTACATTGCTAAAGAAAACAAGCAAAGTTGCACAATGCACAGAGAGGTACAGTGAGATGACAGAGTAGCATGATTTCATTTTGGCTCATATAAACCTTTTAGATTAAGAAGTACAGAAGCTTTCATCACATATAATTGGCACAATTTTCTTTATAAAGAATAGATGGCATAAAATATTCAAAGTACAAACAGTGTATTTGTTTCAGATTTCAACAGGCTCAATTAAGACACACAATCCAAGAGCAGCTGTACACTAAATCATACAGATCAAATATGCTGGGTTAGAATCACAAAATGAAAAAAAATTTTGCATAGGCTCTAGTAAGGTCTTTTTTACAACACAACAAATCAAAGATTCCCTTTGCATCTGCTATGATGCAAAAATTTTTAGCTATAAGTGCATATAACAACAAAAATAAATTGTTCAGTGTACCTCCGTCCCTCCTTCAGCAGCTCTATGTCTGGAGGTCTGGAAAAGGAAAAGAGAATGAACATTTGCCTGCTAAATCTATTGTCTTGAAATACACATGAATACAAAAACTGTTGAGTTTGGAAGGGACATCTGAGGATCTTCTAGTCCAACACCCTCTGTTCAAAGCAAAGCTAGCAGGAGGAGGTTTGTGCACGTGTTCAGGGAGTGTGACTCGTGTGCCTGCAGCACAAAGCTGTTGCAGTGAACACAATTTAAAGCAGTCACCAAGTCACATAAAGGTTTGCCAGAAAGGACCTCTGGAAGGCCCTAGTCTGATCTCCTGCTTGAAATGCAACTGTCACCAGCACTGGGCTAGGTCAACCACAAATTCATGATGTTTAAATCTTGAAAACCTCCAAAGACGGAGATTTCAAAACATTGCTGAGTATCCATTGCTGTTTCATTCCACCATAACCTTAATACAGTATTTTTCCAAATGTCTAACCTGAACCATTCATGTGATTATCTGTGGCCATCAAAAAGAACACCTTGGCTTTGTAATCTTTCTAACTTTTTTCAACTAGGTGTGCTGCTTTCAGATCACCCTTTGGTCTCTTCTTCAAACAAGTGAACATGCCAAGATCCTCATAGATCATAAGGTTCATATAATAAAGATAATTCTGGGCTATTGATAGGAAAATGTTCCAATTAATGTAAAAATAAGAATATTCATTCTATTTTTACTGATTTTAAATTTTACTTTGTTAAAAATTAGGCTGTCAAGTTATATATTTTTTAAAAGAAAACAGTTTTCAAAGGTTTCCAGAAACTTAAAATATTACTAAACAAATTCTGAAGAGTTTCTTTCCAAAACCCTACTTGCAATTAATCTACCTCAGTTATGAGGCAGCATGACATTCCTATTCCTCTTATCCAATACCAAAAGTTAAAAATCTAATGTATCCTATGACTGAAAGAAAACCTTTTAAACAGGCACTAAATGCAAGTCAGGGTACTAACACCTTTCATTTTGTAAAAGACCCTGCAGGAAGTTGCACCACTCATATCAGTAAACTGAATTTAGAAACTAACAGTGATAACATAGAGTGATTTAAATTATTAGCTCCATATAAGTCTTTTTTGGCGTTTTAAGTGGAGGTTGTAGTCTCTTCTGTCAAAGGAATTTAAAATATTCTGCTGTGTCAGTGTGTATTGGTGTGTGCACATGTATGTGGTTGTGCAAAGAGGTGTAGCTAGCCAAGAACTATCTGGGAGTTTGTTGGTTTGTTTTTAGAAAATACTGCCTCCCCACCAGCACCCACAATAAATAATTAACTATGCCAGGCATAAAAGAACTTTTGTTGTGAAGTATAAAGGGAGATTTTAGAAACACTTTTCTTGAAGACAGCAAAACATTACCTCAAAAGCACTGGTAAACTTAAACTTTTAATGAAGAGCCTAGTTTTACCTACTAGAATACCTCAGATCTGATGAGGCTGCTCTAAAGCTCTTCTCTGCTTGATCATGTATTTCATACACATCTAACTCCAGCTAGTTTCTTTTGTTGAAACCCAGGGACTATGAGAAGTAGCATCTTGGAGAATGAAAGCTGAGTAAATTTGCTGAACATTCCCTATGCCAGTCTTTGTTGTTCAACAGTGACACCCATTGGCTCCACTGATTATTTGCAAGCCCGTGTTCTGAGATGGGAACATGGACTGCATACACTGTTCCAAAATGTGTATTGCAGGAAGAACAAGAAATAGGCAATCTGAAATTTAGATTGGATAATAAAACCTCCTCATGTTATAGACTGCTTTCAGATGAAAGCATTCACTGTCTAAGCTTAAGATCAATGCCAAGTGCTGTGCTAAAATTAGAAAATCTCTTGTAACAGAGTAAGATTATTCCAACCAGTTTGTAAAAATTCAATCCCAGTCAGTCCATTTTAAAGTTAATAGGAGCTGACTGTTTTTTCTGACTAGTCTGCCCTCTAAACTAACATGGTCACATCTACTAAGTGGATGAGAGTAGTACTGAACCATGCCAATTACTGTAATCCATACAGCTACAACACTTTTAAAACAAACACCATGCTAAGCTAACATGTTAACATCAGCTACTTCTGCTTCAGCCAAATCATTTTGATGAGCTGCAGCTCTTAATTACCACTGCAGATGCATAGAGAAATAATATTCTCAAAAGGTGCAATGAATGTATAAGATTATACTTACTTTTCTTCTTCTCTCATCCACACTGGGCTTTTGGAAATCTGAGCTTCAAAATATTTAGATGCTCTATAGCAAAAGTTGCTGCAAAAGCACTGGCAATGAGAGAAAGCAAGAAAACACGACTAAGGTCAACTTTAATACAAAGAAAGGCACAAAGGTAATTTCTTTTAATGCCTGTAAAATTAACTACCCATACATGTTTCTTTTCAAGCCTGTGGCCAGGGTTTTAATTTACCTAAAAACCCAACCTATCAAATAGGTCTATCCCATTCTGCACAAGCCACATTTAGCTGCTTCTTTCCTCCCCATTTTTCTGCTTCCTGCACTTTAATTACACAATGAGAAACAAACCAGTGTTGGATTCTATATAACAGTACTTTAAAGAAACCCCAACAAACCAAACTGTTCAAAGAGGAACCCATAACCCAATATGCTGTTCACACACTTTGAAAGACATACAATAAAATTCAGATGTCTAATAATGACAATTTTTGTTAGCAACAGAGCCTGGTATTTTGTAATACTTAGAACAACACCTAAAAATCTGCAGCAACTTTGAAAAATTTATTTGCAAACTTGCATCATGAGGGGAGAAAACAAAGCATCCCACTTCTTGTTGGAGTCTTGCCTGATTGCTCTTGAAAGCAATTCCCAAAATTCTCTGTATCCCAGAGTTTTAATCAGAGGAAAGGAAGGCATACTAGTGACACTGAAGAAATTTGTTCTGTAACTGGAAACATTTATGTTACAATTTAGTGTCTACCTGCCTGTAGGTGATTGTGTATCCTGTGAAATGGCAAAGATGACTGTCATGCAACCACGTGTGAATATGCTTCCAGAAAGAAACATTTTGTGAAGAGTTAGGTTTTATGCTGAAAAGTCCTCAAAAAAGAAATCTAAATGTTCCCCAAAAAAGAACACTAAGGGATATGTAAGATGTAACTTGTACTGAATTACTGCAAACTTCAGTGATTGACAAGAATGTTCACTTTGACCCTACTAAAGCTCATCTGTGCTGGAGCAAAATAAAGAACACTTCTTCACAAATGCCTTTAACACATCAGCTGTGCCACATTCAAACACCTATCCAAGTTAAACTTTCCATCTTATGTTTAAGCTTAGAAAACACATGGATTTTGTCTCACCAAAGATATCATCTAGGAAGTGAAATGCACACAAAATTTCAACCGTTTGAGAAAATGATTTTCATAAGAACCAAACATATTTGCCTCTGAATCAAGCCACTATATGAATGGTGTCACAAAATGCATTTCTGATGTTGCCACCATTAAACACGTTCTAGAAATACACTTGTTATCATACCTTTCTTTCAGTGATATCATAAACTCTGTTCGTTTTTGTTGAAATTCTGTACTTCTGCTTTGGCACCTAAAATAACACAGTTTCATCAGCAAGACTGTCAGTTCCATCATGACTACAGAGAAAACTTCATTCTTAATTCACAAATTTGGGTATGTGCAATATATTCTATTTAACTGAACTGCATACTACAACCACCTTTTCTCTCAGTTCTTGTGATGTTGCACCTTTCCAGATGTAAGAATGGCAGTTTAATCATATACATCTCATTAATCAGAAAAAGCAGCTCCACAGCTGTAAGAAAACCAGTGCTGAACATGAAATAATGGAGCTGCCATGGAAGAAGCCTTCCTCGTGTGTAAGTGCTGAGCAATTACAGACAGGTCCCTCCTTAATCCAGATCTATTTATATGCATGTGAGGCTGAACTGTCAGACCCCCACCACTACCCAGACAAACCCAGAGGAACTTATGCAAACTGCAACAGTTTTGAAATTAACATCTAAGCAAATAGATGAAGTCCAAACCAGTGAATTGTTTTGTACATCAGTAGATTGTTTTCAGATAAGTACATGTAGCACTGGTATTACATCACAGGTTATCTAACTGACCTCTGAGTTCTGCTTAAGCTCTCACACATGCTACCTAAAGAGGGGGGACACAGTTGACACACATTTTCATAGCAGATATATATGCATTCACATAACAATATCCCTGCATTGTATTATTTTTCATTTCAATCTTTTCATAGACACCTGTTGCTACACGGACAGAACAAGATTTCCAAGTTTTCCCATTCACAAAGGAAGGCCATGAAGCCACAACTTGTTCATCTTTATCCCTGTCAGAAAATATACGCAGATTGTGATTATGATCATACAGTAACTGATTCTGTCATATAATAACTGCTGTCTGCTGGTCAAATGTCACCTTTCACTTTAGAAGGATTATACTGAAATGGAATTATATAATGCCCAGCTCCTTACTTGACAGTAATCTGTGCTTAATATTCTAAGTTTGAAATTAAAAAGAAAATGCAAGAGAATAAAAATTGTGAAAAGATTCCTTTGATAACAGCATTAAGGAGAAGCAACTTACATTTTCCAGCTTATTCTGACACAGAGGATAACCACACAGTTTGATGATAGACCGTTCATCAACAACGTCCTTATAGTGAGATGGAGTAATACATTTTCCCTAAAATGACAGGAAAGTAGTTCAACAACAAATACTGGAAAACTTGTACTCAAAACAACCCTTAAGCATTTAAACACCTTAAATTTTCTAACAGTTATCTGTTAAGTTTAACAAACAACATTGAGAACATACACAGCAGAAAAAGTAAAAGGGTAAAGAGAGAAGGAAAACAGACCTCAGCATTTCTTTTTTACATATACAAAACCTTCACAGTTTTGCCTCTAGTGTGGCACCTATTTTTGTAATTTTCCTCTATTCACACATTTTGTACACCTATTAATCAGCCTACTTACAACCTTTTCAACCTTATTCTTAAGAATAATCACACCATTCCAGCAAAACTCTGCTGCCAGATAACTGTGGTGCCTTATAGGGACTTTGTGTGAATTTACAGAGGGTGTGATGTGAACCTAAATTTTTACAGTTCACCTGTCAGTCCAGAACCACAGAGGTATAAACAAAGGCTGTGATAGAAGGGTGAGGATTCATCAATGTACACAGTCCTGCAAAACTAGGGCATGTTTTCACTACAGAACCCTTAAAAATATGGAAACTGTTACCAGAGCTGGTACAAGAGGGAATCAACGGTTTAGCTATTTCAAACTGCAGCAAATTGCTCCAAAAACTTTAAAAAGTACCACATTAAGACACAAAACAGTATAAAAGCTTGTAACACCTACACAATTTAGAAGGAACTCTTCAGTTATGTCCTCTTCCAGGAGCTGCTCAACAACAGCCAAGGCTTTTTTCTCACATTCAATCTTGTTTCTCAGCGCAGCCTCCAGATCTGCTTTCCTGTAACAGAACAGACACTGAATGACACAGAGGGCAAATTTCCATAAACAATTTCCAATTGTATTTTTATCTTTTTTTCTGAGATACAGCTTATATTTTTTTGTATCACACCATGTTGGCCAAACAAAGCAACAAGTAACTGGACTAGTAATTCAGTTACAATTACAAAGGGTTATATATTTTATATTGGTTTGCTTTTCTTGCTGGTCAAGAAAAGTATTGACTCTTACTATATTGCAACACACTCCCTAAATTTTCTTGCAAGAGGGAAATCCAGAACTGGCTAGACAAAGAACCTGGGACAATTATTTATGGAGTGTAGTCAGGAAAAAAAGGAACTAGTAAAGAAGACAGCAAAAAGCAAGCACTACAGACTAAGGAAATACAATTTTGGATGTTAGATCATAAACTTTTAGTGTATTACACAATGCTTAGATGTGCATGCTGTTAGAAGTTACACAGCATCACTCCAAACATGCTCTACGTGATGCTGATGCTGGTGATTTACTGAAGTTAATCGTGGTACTCTGAGAAAGCAAAGCCTCTGCAGCACAGAGACTGGTGAGGCAAAACAACACAAATATCACATACTGTTCCTCAGAAATTATACCTCTGAGCAGCATCTTCATTTTTCTGAGCAGCTGAATGCTTATTTCCTAGAAATCAAATATACAAAATATAGAAACATAAATATACAAACATAGAAATATACAAATATGGAAATTAGTGTACTTTCTTAACAGTGGAAGATGTTGGAACCTGAAAAATATTAAACCTCTAAACTGTAAGCACAACCAAGATAGTTTTTTAGTAAATATTATTGCTTTTGATGGCTGTGATTTCAGTAAGCTGGTATGCAGCAACCGGTTAGATACACTTTTTAAAGTGTGAAAACAGACAGCCCCAACTCGTCTCATACTCTCATTCACCATGTTCTGTATACACAAAAAAAGGGAAAAATTTCTGTCGGTAATTTTGTGCCAGCCGCACGCCCCGTGTCTCTCTACCCAGCGGGTAAAGCCCAGTTTTCCCCCGCACCCCACTGCTCCAGTGCCGTCCCGCAGCTGCCCCGGCGCAGGCAGGGCTGTGCTCGGGCCAGGCCCAACGCGGGCACCCTGACACAGAGCCGCTGCTGCCGCTCTCGCAGCCGCCCGGGACGGCGCCTGACCCAGCTCCCGACCCGGCTGTCCCGGGCCGCTGCTCCCCCACGACAAGGGCAACAGGCAGGACAGACACCGGGCTGTTACCCTGCGAAGGACGCAGGGCTCAGCCGCACGACCGCCGCCACAGCCCGTCCCCGCCGCTCGGGGCGGGCCGGCCCCTCACAGCCTGAGGGGACCGAGGGTCCCGGCATCGCCTCGTCCGCCTCATCACGGCCCTGCACTCGGCCCGGCAGAGGCCCACAGAGCCTCCCCTCGGCTCGGCGGGTTGGGCGAGTCCGCCGCTCTGCCGGCCTGGGGGCGCAGGGAGAGCCCAAAGCGCCAGGCGGGGGGAGCGGGAGCTGGTGAGCGATCCTGGCGCCCACCTGCGCGCCGCCCGCGAGGCTTGCCCGTCCCGGCCGCCATCATCGCCATCACCGCCGCTCCGCCCGCCGACCTCTCACCCGGGGCGGAGCCGGGAGAGGCGGCAGCGCCGAGCTGAGGGGTTCCTCTGGCTGGGGCTGAGGTGAGGTGGTGCGGTACCCTTGTAGCTTTTAGTTCTAGCCGTGTGTTACAGGCTGAGGCTGGCAGCGGTACAATACCAGCCTGGGTGTTGTACCGCCCAGAGAAGGGGCTGGGGTATCTGTTTATTAGGAGGGAGTTTGGTGAGTATTAATAGAACGTCTCACATGATTCAGATGCCGTCCACTTGTCGCTGAAACCTCCTAAAAGATTCATCTGGAAACCGGATTAAGAATTAAGGCCGGAGACCATCTGCGGGCTCAGGCGGTAAATCCCTGCAGCACGGTGGGTGCTGGGGGCGCGTTTCAAGGCTGTGAGTACATTGTGAAGTTACTGAGGGCTGGAGATGCAGCAGCACTGGCGTCCGAAAGTATGTTAAATTATTTTGGTGGGATTAGTAACATTCTGTGAAATGAAGAGCTTAAATAGTACAACGTGGGGTAAGAAAGTATGTGGTAATGATCTGGTTAAAATGACAGGCTAGAAAGGATAGGTTTCAGTGACATACAGATGTCAAAATGGGCCGTGAAGAATAGAAAGTGAATTGTTTATTCTTTGAATAAAGAAGGTTACATAAAGATGCCTTTTAAGTTTTTGTGAGTTGTCCCCTTTTGTGAGCACCCAGATAGGTTCTTTATCTGTGTATTGCCTCGTGTAGGTGTGCTGGTGTTTGGCCAGTGTCAACCCACCACATTCCGTCAAACCTAAGAAAAAAGGCTGAGGACATTGCATGGAGATGCCTGTGTTTTGATGAATAGTTACCTAATTAACCAGGTGTAGAGGTAATTGACAGTCATAGTGATCCTATAACCAGGTTTAGGCCCATGGCACTACTTAAACCATAAATATTATGACTGCTGCTATGATATATAATCAGGCTTGGCTATATTTGTATTTGGCTACATAAAACTTGGTACATACCAAGTAATTGACAGTCATAGTGAGCATATAACCAGGTTTAGGTTAAGTAATGACATTACTTAAACCATAAATATTATGACTGCTGCTATGATATATAATCAGGCTTGGCTATATTTGTATTTGGCTACATAAAACTTGGTACATATTTGATATTACTCAAATGTATAACATTGTTGTTTGTAGCAAGAAAGTTTTAAATTTTAATACCTAGAGGTAAAAGGCCACTGAACTAGTCCAACCTAGACACTAGAAAAAATTAAATGAAATATGCATATGTAATCTTGACTGGACTGTTGATATAAACTGGCATGGTGTTTGGATCAGTGCCTTCACATCCCAGATATCAGGTTAGTGTGTTCCAGTCAGGGCTGAGCAGAAGCTCCTCTGGTCAGAATAGTCACAGAAAATGGAGTGTGTCATGGTGTGCACACGTGCTGTGCAGTGAGGCCAGACTTGCTCTGTGTTAGCTGCAGTTGTCCATGTATGTGCCTACAGTAGTCCCTGAAACCTTCTCACTTCTTAAGATGACCCAGATAGTACTGAAAAATTGTTTCCCTGTACATAGAATGCAGGTTGTTTCCTGTCTGTAATTCTGTCTCCTGCACATATGGGGAGTAGAATAATATAGCATACACTTTGTAAGAATGTATTTTTCCTTATTTTATAATTATGCAGTCTTAATATTTGTCTAGGTTGTTCTTATTCCTCCATTAACATTTTTTTGATAATGCAATTATTTTTCAGGCTCTGTTTTAAGTTCGTGTGATATAATACTGCCCTCTTTAGTTTCTAATAAATTTCCATGCCAGAAGAACACAGTCAAACTATAATGGCAGTTGATGAACTTCAAGCCATAATACAAAGATGTGTAAGTAGTTTTCTTTCCTTAGAAGTAACAAGTGTCAGTAGTGTGAGTTTCTTTTCATATGTTAGAATTAAAGCCAAAATGACCTCAAAAGACAAGTTGGTTGTTAGTAGAACTCTTCATGGGGCAGCTAAATTCAGCCTCCATGTTTCATTGACTTCTCTGTGGTGCTTATCCCAAGATGCTTGATTATTTCTGCCTCTTGGAGAAGGTGTTCGTGTACCTAGGAACAAAAGCTGGTAGTTTGAGAAAACATATCTTCCAAACAGAATGCTGTAGTCTAGACTGAGTGCTATTGAAATACTGCCTTGTGTTCTGTAGTAACTTGGTAGCTTTTTTAATATGTGGAAAATGTATAAAAGTTATGATGATATTACATTTAACTCTGAAATGAAAGCATGGATTTTCTTACTTCTTAATTGACTTTGATAAGTATGGAATTAAACATTCATATTTTCTTTCTAGCAAATTCTGGAGGAAGCTGATTTCAAAGGAGAAGATTTTAATCTGTTTCAGGTAGCAGGTCAGAAATGTTTGGAAGATGGATATGCAGCTCAGTTATTAGAAGTAATTCAAAATGAGAAAAACAAGGTGAGTTTAAGTTTGCACTACATATTAGTGTTTATTAACATCATTAAATATAAGAGTTCTGCTTATTAAGAGGGGAAAGCTACTTTCTCTGTGGAGCAAGGCTGTACATATGAATAGCTAATAAGCTGCTCTGTGTTAAGTGCACATTATTCTGTATTCAGGTAGCTCACAGAAACCCAAGTCATGGTAATCTTAACAAAACCATTAATAACTCTGTGAGTGAAGCAAAGAGAAAAGGAAGCAGAAGGAGCATAATGAGGAGAAAGCAACAGTGTCCTGCTTCCACAGGACAGGGATTTCAGATGGTCTGCTGGGTCCAGCTGGCATGGAGTTGGCTTTCTTCATGGCAGCACCCAGATAGTACTGAAAAATTGTTTCCCTGTACATAGAATGCAGGTTGTTTCCTGTCTGTAATTCTGTCTCCTGCACATATGGGGAGTAGAATAATATAGCAGACACTTTGTAAGAATGTATTTTTCCTTACTTTATAATTATGCAGTCTTAATATTGTTCTTATTCCTCCATTAACATTTTTTTTGATAATGCAATTATTTTTCAGGCTCTGTTTTAAGTTCGTGTGATATAATACTGCCCTCTTTAGTTTCTAATAAATTTCCATGCCAGAAGAACACAGTCAAACTATAATGGCAGTTGATGAACTTCAAGCCATAATACAAAGATGTGTAAGTAGTTTTCTTTCCTTAGAAGTAACAAGTGTCAGTAGTGTGAGTTTCTTTTCATGTGTTAGAATTAAAGCCAAAATGACCTCAAAAGACAAGTTGGTTGTTAGTAGAACTCTTCATGGGGCAGCTAAATTCAGCCTCCATGTTTCATTGACTTCTCTGTGGTGCTTATCCCAAGATGCTTCATTATTTCTGCCTCTTGGAGAAGGTGTTCGTGTACCTAGGAACAAAAGCTGGTAGTTTGAGAAAACATATCTTCCAAACAGAATGCTGTAGTCTAGACTGAGTGCTATTGAAATACTGCCTTGTGTTCTGTAGTAACTTGGTAGCTTTTTTAATATGTGGAAAATGTATAAAAGTTATGATGATATGACATTTAACTCTGAAATGAAAGCATGGATTTTCTTACTTCTTAATTGACTTTGATAAGTATGGAATTAAACATTCATATTTTCTTTCTAGCAAATTCTGGAGGAAGCTGATTTCAAAGGAGAAGATTTTAATCTGTTTCAGGTAGCAGGTCAGAAATGTTTGGAAGATGGATATGCAGCTCAGTTATTAGAAGTAATTCAAAATGAGAAAAACAAGGTGAGTTTAAGTTTGCACTACATATTAGTGTTTATTAACATCATTAAATATAAGAGTTCTGCTTATTAAGAGGGGAAAGCTACTTTCTCTGTGGAGCAAGGCTGTACATATGAATAGCTAATAAGCTGCTCTGTGTTAAGTGCACATTATTCTGTATTCAGGTAGCTCACAGAAACCCAAGTCATGGTAATCTTAACAAAACCATTAATAACTCTGTGAGTGAAGCAAAGAGAAAAGGAAGCAGAAGGAGCATAATGAGGAGAAAGCAACAGTGTCCTGCTTCCACAGGACAGGGATTTCAGATGGTCTGCTGGGTCCAGCTGGCATGGAGTTGGCTTTCTTCATGGCAGCCTGCATAGTGCTGCATTTTAGATTTGTGACCAAAAAGGTGCTGATAATACACCAGTGTTCCAACTACTGCTGATCAGTGCTTGTGCAGCATCAAGGCCTTCTGTGTTTCTCACTCTGCCCCCAGTAAGCCTGGAATTTGGGAGGAGGCACAGCTGGGACAGCTGACCCAAAGCAGTGAGATACTCCATACCACACAACATCGTGCTCAGCAGTAAAGACGTGTGGATGGGGACCCATTCCAAAGTAGCTGTTGTTTGGAGGCTGGCTGGGTGCTGGTTTCCTCATGGCAGTTGATCTGCATCATTCCCCATCATGCTCTGCTGTCTTTTCTCTTTCAGTTACTACATTGGCCTTCTCTTCAGAGTTCCTCTGTTTTGCTCTTTTGACTCTCAGCCCTATCCCACTGAGGGACAAGAGCAAGCAAGCAGCAACAAGTAGTTGCCTACCACAAATGGATATAATAATATTGGCCAACTGTAGGAGCCAACTAGGCTGATGCTAATTTGAAATACTGATGTTGATGCTAATTTGAAATTAGGCTGATGCTAATTTGAAATACTGATGTCTGTGGGCATTAGGGATGCTGGGACAACATACCAAATTGAACAGAGATAAATAGGAAGTTCAGAAATAAAGCAAAGGGTAGACTATTTTAGCAATGTTACATGGGGTTCACAATCTGGTTTTGAATTTTGTGAGTTTGGAGTAACAACTGAAAGTCTCAATCCCCTCATGAATAATTTGTCCAAGTGTTCTTTCAGCACAACTCCTCTGCTCAGTCTCGTTTTAAATGTATTTTCATGGACATTTAGAAGTATGTATTGACATGTCAATAATTAGAAGAAACCTATACAAAATAGCCACCTGTGTGTATAGGTATGGGGAGAGGATACAATGTGTATCAAATTATGGCAACCATTGCTAAATATTCTGTGGCAGTAATGGTTATAACCAGGACACTGATCTGTTATTGATTTTGGTCTTATATATACAATCTTTCTGGGTTTAGAAGAAATCCAGTTTTTGTTTATTCTCTGAATATCTGGTTTTTAGGTTATCATCAAGAATATGGGTTGGAATCTCATTTCTCCTCTTGTTAGATGTATTTTTATGTATAAACAAGAAGATGATAAGCGAGAACACTGCCTGAGGATACTAGATCAGTTGGCACAGGTATGGTTTTGAAGTACATGATTATGATACAGCAATGTTAGGGAAGTTCTGCACAAAAAGGGGTGCCAGATCATTAATGCATAAAGCTAGTACACCAAAGGCCAGTTACACAAACAAGTTTGTACAATTCAATTCTGACAATATTTGCATAATGAATCTACATCACTACTTGAGTAAGCTGCTTTGAGTTTATCATTCCCTTGCCTCAGTTTAAGGGTACAGAGCATTCTAAATTCATGGTGCATGTTCAGTGGGTAGGGCTCTTTGTTTGGAAGTGGTAGGCTCAGCACCAGAGGTGTGATTTTCACATGAAAATGAGCTAAGTTGATCTTAAGGACACAATCTTACCTGAGTTAGCTAGTTTGAGTAAAACTTACAGTATGTTGCTAAATGTGTTTTCTAGTATCTAATTCAAGGTCTCTCAGTTCATGTTCTCTCTTTAGTTATATCAAAATCATTCTGCAAGACCTTGCCATTTTCCACTTATCTCTGTCTGAATAGTATTTATTGTTCTCTTTTCTATGATTCACTTAGAAAAGTATTTTCCTTAAATCATTCACCCTTCCTCAATATGAGAATCATTACCTGATGATTCTGATGGAGTAGGAGCGGAAAAATGTTTTAACCTGTAAAAACTCATTCTCTTTCATTTATGTACTCCAAAAACAACTTGAAAACTTTATAGCTTGAGTTAAATTCACACTTAAATTCTTACTTCTCTCTCTGCTCCAAAGGATCACTTTGCAAAGGTACTGTGAGGTTTTTACAGCCCATTAAAATCAGGTTTAGTGTCAGTTTTTACTATTATATGTTTCAGTTCATATGAAAGTGTACACACATGTATGCTCTACAGTAGATGTTAATTGTAGGCATGTACTTACTGTTTCATATTTGTTTTTTAAAATCTTATCTTGGATGTTCAGCTCTTCTCTCTTGACATTCAGGAACTTCTGTATTGCATGTGATTTATTTGTTTGATTATGACCATGGTTATTAAAAAAAATATGCATTGTTCCTCTCTTGCAGCTCTGCAATCCAAAGGAACTTTTTTTGGGTTTACTTGAGCAAATTGAGCAGACCTCTGGAGAGCAAGTGTGTCAAACTGTGATGTTATTGCTTCAGCCTTTGCAGACAGGTGGGATTCAGTTTATCATGTATTTCTGAATTAAATTATTTTCTCATTTGTTTATCAATTTAGTTTAGCCTCTGCTGAAATGGTTTCAGAATAAATTCATCCTGACAAGCTTTACAGTCTATTATATTCTGCAAAATAACACAAGACATACATTTCATACTTATATTGGCCTGTTAGAAAAACATTTTAGATGGAACTAATAGCATCAGTTGAAAAAGCAAAATTCATCTATTTTTCATCATTTACAAGAATGTGGTCCTATGACAGTTATATTTAGAGGTGTAAAGAACTCCTACTGTTGCAGAAATAGGGAATCACATGGATTTGTGAAATTCTTCATTATTTGACTTTTAAAACATGCAATTCTATTTTTTATAGTATAAAACTATAATTTCGATTGAAGCTTGTTGAAATACTTTATTGGTGAGGCTTACTTATGAATATTTAACATGTTGGGTTTGCCACTCTAAGTAGTTAAAAAGCAGTAGTTTCTGTTTTGTTCTAAGAGATGAAATTAAATGTTGTGTATCAAGTTGAAGTCTGATTGTAGCAATCTATAGGATATGTTATTGTGTTATGTTAGAATTTAACAGGAGAAAAATGTGGTTTTTTGGATAGCCAATCTGCAGTTATTCTGCACTGAGTCCAGTTAAAGTGGAGAGCCTCTGGTGCTGCTTCCTCAGTCTGGGAGAGTGTCTGTTATTTTTGCTACAGAGCAAAAACCAGAGTCAGTTCTCAGCAGAAAAACTGGATTGTTGTCTCTGGTTTTGCCAAGCACAAAATGAGTCAAGTAATAAATGCATTTTCTGAGTCAAATATGTATAATTTCATTTAGCCCAGTTCTAGAAAACTTTTTTTTTAGTCTTCATCCTGGTGCTGTGGAGAAAGGATGAACATTGAAATGTGTGATAGATTTAATATTTGTTATTTACAAATACATGGCCATGGTAACTACAGTATATTAAACTAGGTGATGATGTTTAGTCTTGCTGGATTTGCTCATGTGATTTCAGGTGTCAGTCCCTCTCCTTCCCTGAAAATAAAAGGTTTTCTTACCTAGACACGTTTTTCTTCATGTTTTCCTCTACTAAGTAATAATTTAATGTCTCAAAATGTTCTCTCTTCTTTTCGCCTTTTTATTTTCTTTCCCCCAGTGCTTTTGAAACTTCAGAACAAGAAGGCCTACTCAGTGGGTTTGTCATTGGCCATGATTATGAATCAGCTCACTCCCTTACCTGTACCTTATACAAAACAACAAATACAAGAAGACAAACTTGGTCTCTGTCAATGTTGTAATGCAGTGGTGGACTTTGCTAAACCTTTTGTGAATGAAGTTGTTAAAAATATGGAAAAGTCATCAGAATACAATGACATGGAGCTGAAAGAGGAATTAATAAAATTGTGAGCATTTTATGTCTGTGCTATGTATTCCTGTAACTTAACAAAATGAATAGTAGGCATTTATTATATAGGTAGTAAATAAATAATATTTTACTGTTTTATAATGCTGCCAACATATATCTAACTAATGTGGTATTTTGGTAAAAAACCCCTAAATAGATTTTATATATTTATGCTTTCTGTTTAGTACAGGGAAATGGTAAAGAACTATTAGTTGGTGCATCGTGAAGCTGAGTTGGTATTCCTCTGTTCCTCAAATTTCCAACAGTGAGAATAATCATAGTCTGCAGGTGAAGACTAATGCTTCTACAGGAGGTGTTGGGTTTTTATTTTTTTATTCTCCTTGGAATACCTTGAATAGCAGCAGCTGATATGAATATAGGCATTATTCTTGATTATCAATGACACTATCAGAGTCTGTATTTATGACTGTACTGGTGATTTATTCCACCCCTTTCTTTTTCAGCTGTATGCAAAGCCTGAAATACCCATTATTGACAGCTCAGCTTGAACAGCTTGAGGGCATTGAAGAACATCCTTTTCGGCGCTTTGCAACCGAAATTATAGTGAGTGCAGTGGAGATGAGTTCCAGTGTGTGCAGAACCAGTGGTCCTGTTCACAATTGCCTCTCATTTGTTCTGTATTGGTTGGTGGGGTGACTTAATAGGCTGTGTAGGATATATCCTGCCTTTCCTGTTGAGCACAGTCTGAAACCATGTTTTTAAAGCTAATTATGAATTACCTTGTATTCTCTTTCTCAATAAACCTCTGTTTATGGCTTTAGGTAGTGAGAGCTGAAGCTAAGGTCAGTAAGTCATGCTTTGACTGTATGACATCTTGCATAATCCTAATTTTCCAAAATGTGCCATCCCGGATGTGGGGTTTGGACAGCTCCAGAACAGTGAGCTGACCTTGAGCTCCCCATTTCTCTGTAATATGTTCAAGAGGAGTTACACTATGTCCTCAGCCACGTGAAGGGTGTCAGGAGGTAACCCCTGTAGTATTTCTGATGTATAAATATCAGGGGCTCCTTGTGTTGTGCATCATGGGAAAGAAAGGCCATACAAAGGAAATCTAACTTTAAATCAGGGCTTGCCTTTAGCAGCTAAATGTTGTGTTCCATATTGATTAGTGAGAAAAAACCAAAATACTGAGTATTCTGGGATCTGAAAAACACAGAGATGTTGTAATGTTTTCATGAATCTATTGTCACTCATAACATTGGGGATAAGGGAGCTGAACTAGGAGTTTGCAGATGGTCTTCATTCTCTGTTTTGTTAACTTTTGTGTGCTTGACTTTGCTATCTTAGTAACATCTTCCTAACACTAGTTATTTTTCCTCCAGGATTTTTTGTGTTTGTGCATATATCATAAATACTGCATATTTTTATATTACAACTATAACATTTTTATTAATTTATATGCATGCTGTACAAGAGAATGTATGTAAATACAGTTAGAGCTTTAAAACTTAATTGGTGTACAGTTACTTTAAAGGCAACTATAGGAAATCTGTTTTTATTTTTTAGGACATTTTGTGGAATACAGGAGAATTGATACCATTAGTGTTTGTACATCATAAAGGCAAAAGTCCACACTGGGAGAATCAGGAGTTTGCAGACATAGAGCGAAAGAATTCTGCTGATTCTTTGGCATGTCTGTCATACCTGATGTTTGTTCAGCATTTTGGTGTTGAAAGCTTTCCAGTGGTTTTCAGGTAAGAACTATTCTTTCTTGCTTGTTGTAAATCTGTACTTGGAAGATTCTTTCTGAGCGGAAGAGAACTTTATTTGTGAATAGTTATGAATGAAAACTGCATTTCAGTAGTATTAATTTTATGTCAACATTTATGTATTTATATTTTATGTAACTTATGTTATATAAAGAAGATACTCCTGCAGAGTAGTCTAGTGTAGTTTAATTTTAGATGAGCTGTCCTTTAAAAGAAACCACTATGATTAGTCACATGGTGAAAATTAATGTGTATTAATTGTTCATTTACATATCTATAGATGGTTTCCCCATAAGAGTTCTTAAGTGATTTGACTTACAATTTTTTTGTCTGTTTAAAAATCAATAATTTTAGAAAGAGACCCTGAAAAATATATTAATTATGTGCAAAAGTATATGGTTTATGCAGTTTAATGTAGCCAGATTCTTCTCTTCTAGTCCTTCATACCTTCTGCTGTGCAATATGACACATATTGAAGTGCTGCTGAAAAGGTAGGGTTTGTGGAATTTGCAGGTCTAGATAGTGAGTGATCTTTTACAGTAACTCATAAAAAAATTTGAAATATAGAGAAGTTCAGAGGAGGCTTATAAACTTGAGTATTAAAATGGCAAGTTTCACTATAAGATGGCTTCTTTTATGGAGAAGCAGAAGTTGTCTAAACATTTATGTATTGTTTTCATCTTGTATTGTGCTGTCATTTTTAGGAACTTTATTCAGAAAATGTAAAATTAGTAGTTTAAACACATGCAGAATAATTAGAGTGTATACTTACTTGCCCTTCTCTAACAATTATTACTAAAGGCAACTATTGTGAAAATATTTATTTGAATGTGTTCTGACATGATATGCAAAACGATTAAAGGTCAGGCTTTCTAAAGGAAACCAAACTTTATTATATATTTTGATTATTTCACCCTCCATAAGCAGCAGTGTTACCAAATAGCTTCTAGCACTGCTATGGAAGGCAAGTTTCCTATTCTGACTGCTTGTCATTTCATTTGCTTTGGTAATCAATGTCTCAATACCTGTGGGAGATGACACGCTTTTGAGCTTATATAAATACTGAGGGAAAAAAAGTCATTTATGACTGTAAAGAGATGAGTCTAATGTGCAATTTCTCATCAGTAAGTTTATTCTAAAAATCTTTGGGAAGAGTAACAAGGATTCTATATCTAAAAAATGGAATGAAAATTGCTGAGGGACAAGTTCTTGCTGACCTCTGTACTACTATTTCTTCTGAAATATCAACTGTCTTTTTAATTCACAACTTAAATTTGATTTTTTTTTTTGTAGAACAGAAGAATCTGTATTATCTAAAGGACTTGTAAGTTGTTTTTTTAAATTGAATTTTTGATGTTAGAATGTTTTATTTTTTCAGTTTAAGGAATGGTAAAACTTTTGTTTCTCCTTCTAAGAGAGGTATAACTGATTGATAGTTCAGATAATAGTTCCAGAAATATTTTGAGGCTTAATTAGGTATTCTTCAGCCTTACAAATACCTGTATTTATTGAACTGTACAGTCCTGTGTAAATGTTTAAATTACAGCTATCACTTATAATTGCAGCTGCTTGGACCTTGAAATATCTGAATTGTGTTAATGAGTGCAGGCTGGTTTAGCCATGAAATGTTAAACTGATAGATTAATTCCTGTAGATGTGCATACTGTTGACATCTTTATTTTCTTTTCCATGCCTTCAGGATCTGTTTGAGAGCTGTTTATTGAGAATGGAAGATAACAGCCTTCTCCATCACTATTTAGAATTCAGAGACTTTATTAATGTACCTCAGGTAATAAGAAACAGTGTACAGCAGTCTTCCAAGTTTGATTAGAAAAAATACTTTGCTATCCTCTAGGTGTTTTAGAAGAGGGCATCTTACTGGCCCTTTATAAACCTGTGCTGTTAAATTGAGACCTTCAGTGTCTTGCTATACAGAATTGATTGTCTGTTCTACCTGCTGCAGCATGAAGTTTCAGTGACAATTAAAATCCACCCAGTGTGTGTGCAGGTCACTGAAGCAAGTGGGCACAGATCTTAGTTGAAAGGTGGTGCTTGCTTGTGTTTGTCTCCTCCTTGCCAACCTGCTGCTTGGCTGCATTCTTACCTGGAACCAGCACACAAGAATCCTGTTCTTGCACATCAGCCCTGGGATTTTGACTGCTGAAGCAAGCATGAATTTCTCTGATGAGAATCTTCTATTCCCTGGACATTCTCAAGTGTGCTATGGGTTTTTTGTTTGGTTTGTTTTTTTAAAGTCTTCAGTAGATTTTAGTCAGTATAATGTAATGTAATAATCTGTATGTAATTGTAAATTGTATCTCCTTTCTCTGACTGCAGGATTTGGTGAAAATTATGACCCTTTGTCCCATGGAACATATGGTATGTTAAGTGGCCTACAGAATCAGTTGGATTCTGAATGCTGAATTAATTTTTTTAGAATTCATCTGATAAACATCTCTGTTTTCTTTAGAGAAAGAAGAGTTTAAGTATTTTGCAGTTGTTCATAGACAAGTTTGATACAGAGGGAAAATACACATTATTCAGGTAAGTATCCAAGTTACTGTAGATTGTGTAATATCAGGCCCAGTGCAGCTTAATTGCATTGATACATTGATCTCTGACAGAATTTCCATCTGATAAGCCACATTAATTTTTCTATGTTAATGTTTTGATAAATAATGAATTTCAATTGCCTCATATAAAATTTGCTGTCTTATGTAAGCCAGTGTTTAAAGGTTACATAGTCATACTGTTCTGTGGTAAAACTCCCACTTAGCTCAAAACTTGGATAACATCCACTAACTCTATGGGCAGCTTTAAAGAGAAAATATCTTTGTTTTGTTTGTTTGAAGGTGTTTACTGAAGACAAGCAACCATGCTGGAGTGGAAGGATACATTATTAAAAATATAAAGGATCAGATTCACTTAGCGTTAACGGTGAGGCTGTTACCAGAAAATCCAAGCTGTCTTCTCAAAATTCTATCAGTATGGTATTGAGAAAATGTCTACAACTTAAAATTCGAGTGCTACATTAAAAAAAATCCACTTTGAAAAGACACATAAGATTAGAAAATTTTATTAAAAACATTACTTTGGCTTTTTCTGTCTATGGATATTTAGGTTATAATTTTACAATTGTATTTTTAATTGTAGTATCTTATTGTATTTTTCTAAGAACTTACTACCTTTTCTGTGCTTGAAAATACATTTATTTCCTAAAGTGGAACTGCTCAGTATATTGTTTTATCCCCACAGTTCCTCATTTTTAAAATATAATTCAAATATTACAGTTCAGATAGAATGATTAATTTTTTCTTTGCTTTTATGATGACAGTCAGCATTTTATTATGAGTGCTTTGCAAATGATAAATCCATCAGGAAGGACTGGGCTAGATCAAAGCCATTTTAATCTCATATTTTATAATAATTATACCAGAAAGTTGGGAAAATTAATTAAAACTAAATTATTAACTTTTTACTATGCAGCTTCAGAATTCTCTTACTACATTTCTTCCATTTCTTTCCTGGCTGTCAAAAAGAAAAAAAAAATTAAATAATGAAGAGCTTGGTTTATGTACTTCACTCACAGTTACTATTAGAAAACATTTCTTACAGGGTTTGATTTTTTAAAACTTTGGTGTTTTATGCAAGTTACTGTTACAGTATTTAAGACCTAAATTTTGCACTCAGCTGAACTTTTTGTATTTTTTTTCAGAAGGAGTATGACAACATTTGGTTTACAGGCCATCACCTGATCTCCCTTCTAGATTTAGTACTTTCACTTCCAGAAGGTGCTGAGACTGATCTTCTGCAAAACTCAGACAGGTGAGTTGTAATCACAGTTAAAAGCTTTTCTTCTTTCTTCATTATTAAAAAAGACTTTAAACTACCTTACTACAATGATGTATCCTGTCATGTAATTAATGAGGTGGCAACATCAATGTATTTTAAGATTTTGGAACTAGAAATGGAAACGCTCACTTATTTTAACCAGCTCTGCATAGGAGAATGTCACAGTGCCATTGCATTGATTTTTAACAATAAAAAGGATGTCCTCCTCCATTCCCCAGGGATGTGAAATGACATAACTAATGGGGAAAGCAGTATTTCCTCAGGAATGTATGGTTTGTCAGCTCTCTGCAGAAGCAGCTGAAGGAATAAAAGCAATGTGTCTGATACAGGGGAGTAATAATTAGATGCAACCTATGATGCAAGGCATCTTTGAGGCAGTTTCACAGATTGCTACTGGGGATCCAGTATCTCATGAGTAGGATTACAGATCCATGTGAACAGTAAATAATTGCATTAAAAAATTATTAAAAAACTGATATGTGTCTGAAAAATCTTGTGTATGTAGGGTAGGTCTTACTATATGATAAGTAATATGATGATGTTTGGGCTTGTAAATCTGTGGGGAGATAATGTCCAGATGGACACACACCTGCTTAAAAAGCCCAGAAGCATGATGGTTAACTGTATTTGTTATCTGGAAAAAACCAACTTATAATCTCTGCTCAAAAGTATGGTAAAGCAAAAGCAAAAAAAAAAAAAATTAAAAAGCACACTCAAAGTAAAAATTCAGCACAGTAGTAAAGAAAATTGTCACACTAGTTTCAAATCAACTTTGGATCAGTAGTGATACATATTATACATTCTGTATTATACATATTATACATTCTGTGATGAGGTTCTGTCTCCTGAGAGGACTCTGTCCCTTAAATCACCTCTGCAGTCTGATGACAGTTTCAGTTTTACTTGCAACGTGTGAACTGTGTTATGGACACCACTGCACACAGTGCTCTAGGTGGAGCTGTACTGCTCAAAAGATGGCTGGTTGCCTTTTGTACAGATGGATACTCCACACCAGCATGTCTGGCTAATGGACAATTAAAATTACAATCCTGCTAATAGGTATCTGTATGTTTTTAATTCACAGGATTATGGCATCACTGAATCTGCTGAGATACTTGGTCATTAAGGATTGTGAAAGTGACAGTCAAGTAGGTACTATTTGATTTGAAAATCACTGATTAGCTGAGAGGTGGATTCACATGAGCACTGCTCTCCTTGATTCAAAAAACGTGGGTTTTGCATTTTCTTTGTAATGGTTGGTTCCCCAGAAGTTATGCTTTTATTAAGACATTAAGAAATGTGTGATCTGGTCCTTTGTTTTGATGAAATTGTTTGCATATATACTGTTCCTAGAAACAAACTAATCCTTTTACTCTGCCAGTTGAACTGTGATCTATCTCCATAACCATAGAGAATGTCACCACCAAATCACACACCCAACAAGTATTCCCATATGAAAAAATTGTTATTTTTGCTTATTTATTTGCTGGTATCCCTCAAACCACCAACTGGCTATCTTTATAGCAATAATAATACAATATAATTTTCTAGTTTCTAAAATAAAAAATAAAAAATAAAATCTGATCTACTTTTAGACTAATTTGAGATCTGGGAATAAATTTTGTAAGTGCCCAATAATGTTACTCATCTAATTAGAATAACAGTGAAATAACCAGTACTGATTGCTGAAACCATAATGAAAATGAAAAGCAAAAATAGCTTTCAGTGGTTGCATTTCTAATTTACTAGTTTATGTAACTAGTTAATATTGGTAGACTGTAGCTGTTTGTCATATTTAAGGGGTGATTACTAATGGTCTCCTCAGTTACATGTAAATACATAGCTTTGTAGGAAAAGTAAGAATTCCTCTTTTATTATTAATAAAAAACTATATGTAGTAGCTCTCAGCTGCTCTAACAGTGGTGTCTAGTACCTGGCAAAAGAATGTCCATACAGCTTGAGGAAAAAATAGCATCACATCTTCTGAAGATTTTCCCTTAAATTTAGGCTCTGTCAGTTCTTCTTGACTTCTTCCCTGTCTCTCTTCATACAGTGCAAGTGAGGCAGAAAGAAAATGCCTCCTTCCACGTCAGTTCAGATATTTTGATTGCTGTGTAGCAAGCATTTTCATTAATCAAGTTTAAAAATAACTATTTTTCTAGAAAGTTCCTTTTTAAAGCCACATTCAGGTGGAAGTAATTACTGTTCTTATTTGGACTGTTAACTGTGTCATCTAGTATTAAAATGTGGTGAATTTTCCACTGTTGTTAGTGGATTCACTGTACTTAAAATTGAAAATTCTTATTTTTATTGTCCTTATTCTGCCCTTTGAGGATACTGCCTGAAGAAAGGAGTTGTATAAATGGCTCCTATATACAAAGCAGCCTTTGTGTCTTGGGATTTTTTTTCCTTCTACAGCAGTTTGTAGCAAACCCAAGCTTATTTTCCTCTCTGTAACCCTGAACAGCCTTGGTTCTGAGCATCTTTTCCTTGCACCTCCTGCTTCCTGAATGCCATTATTGCAAAGTCCTTCTTTCTGCCCAATGTCAAACTGGGGAGAATTTTGTTGTCACTGTGGCTACTGTGTTGAAGGATGGGAGAGTAGCATATCCAGTAACATTCCTACAGTGCTTTTAAAATGCAATAGACAATTGGGAAGCATGGTATTTATCACAACTTTCTTTGGCATCACAGTACAGTGTTAATTTAGGAATGTTAATTTAAATATTTGTTCTGTTCTGCTGCTGAATTATCTGAGAGGAGCCTACAACTGCCATTTACTTGCTGTAGAGATTCTAGCCTGAGAAAGGGCCTAGAACCTGCCCTCCAACACATCAAGATTCTTTGAGCTTTGCTTACAAGGACAAGCTGGAAATGTGCATTTCCATTGCTGTAGTTACCAGCCTACACACTAAGTCCTCCCTACCTCTGCACCTTTTTTTTTTGAATGCTTCATAGTCAATCAACAAATAATGTAGGGGAGAGGAAGAGGAGCTGAAATACCCATCACAACGCTGCTCATGCTTAAATGCATGACTCTGAATTATTGGTTTTATCTTTTTCTCCCACCACAGAAGTATATGTTATAAAGACTAGTCAAAAAATATGTGCTCAAAAGCTTAGTATTGCAATGATTCATTGAAACTGTTTTGTTACCTTCTCTGTTCTGTTTGACTAGACTGGTGTGTGGACCACACTTGGCAAGATAGAGCAGAATTTCTTAAAACCACTGCGTGTAGGACTCAATATGTCAAGAGCACATTATGAAGCAGAAATTAAAAATAAGAAAGAAAACAGAAAAGGTTGGTTTTGTTCGTTTTTATGTTCTTAGCTTTGTTCATATCTAGAAACTTGGGTAATCCTTTGGAAATGAGGAACTGGTGAATGCTGCATAGATCAAGTTTAATTTAACTGTTGCCACTATTCCAAATTTTGAGTAATAATTCAGTAGTTGCTGCATTAAAAATTTTCATAATTGGTCAGAACTTATCTGAACTTATCTGTCATCACATTAGTAAATCTTATGGAAACCTGATTGAACTGTCACATGAAGACCTTCAGAACTTGTTCTGCATTTATACTTTTGATTTTAATGTTACAAAGGAGAAACTAAGTTTCTCTGAATACATAACCCTTAGGTTTAATACCAGGTGTGGGAGGGTTAACAAGAGAAAAAATAAGTCACAGTGCTCTCTAAAGCCTGAAGCATTACATTCACTTTTTAAAAATACATTATTTTTTTTTAATCTGACACACAGAATCAGATTCTGCTCTGGGTTAAGCAGACACATTGCATGGGGCACAAGAGCTGTAGCTGCTTTAGGCAATCTCTCTGTATGTCAGATCCTCTGTTCCTTGTGGTCTCCAGTATAATTAAGATAGCCCAAGGAATTTGTGTCTGCTACTAAAAATGTCAATACAGCTTTTTGCCCCTAGTCTTATCCTCTTCCACTGCAAACTATGTACTTATGAGGAAAAGAAGGGGACTTCTTTTCTCAAGACAACCTGTGGATATCTCTCTAAAGGGAATCCTTCAAGATTAATCAGGAAGCTTTTCCTTAAGTCCCCCTTACAGTTCTCTAGCCTTCGACAAAGTATAAAGCAATCTGAGTTTGGGAGAGAACATCTAAATTGTAACAGTAAATGGTTTAGCTTTCTTCCCTTGTGTTTAATCTTTGTAAGCATTACATTGAATTTCAAATATGTGGTCTGAATGTAAGAGGTTTTCCCCTTATTTTTCAGACCTGTCCTTGTAGTTTAGCCTGCTGCAAGTAATCTGTCTATAACAGAGAAGCCTGCAGCCTTTTCTTAATAAAATAAGTATTTAATGTCTGGATTCATTAAGTCAAGCTAAAGAACCTCCTACTATCTCTCTGGATGTGGAAATACTAAAAATGTATCAAAACTGGGCCAGATAACATTTATTTTTCCTTTTGAAGAGCATGTGAGCTCTATCAAATTAGTTCCAGTTGCAGATTTTGCCTGTTCAGTAATGTAGGCATTTGTGTTCTACAAAGTAAAAAGATATCATCCAACTCCAACTGTCTTCCTCTTAAGGTTCAGCACCCTCTGTCATGTGTTTTGTCAGTCCCTAGATTTCTGTTCTTAACAATTACCGTCATGAAATGCTGATATTTAAAATATTCTTTTAATTCTAAATGTCATGTTGGTTTCTTCATGTTTTCTTCTACAGAGGCACAAAGTTCTAATACAGTTTGCTCTGTAACTGTTAGTGGGGAAAAGATGCCTGCCATGACTACTGGAATGCAGCTTCAAGTGAGTTTGCTCTTCCCTTCAATCACTCTGAAGTACTGAGTGCATTTTTTTTTTCAATGTGGAGACAAAAGTAAATGTAAAATGGGTAAAAAAAATCTAATAAAAATGACACTCATCTTTCTTGTCATTTCAGGTTTTACACTCAGCTCTCTTCACATTTGACTTAATAGAAAGTGTTCTAGCTCGGGTAGAAGAACTCATTGAAGTGAAAACAAAAGCTGTAATGGATGAGAATAGTTAAGGCAGCTGAAGTGTTTGAATTAACAGACTCCTGACAAGATCATTTGGACTATGTGACTTCAGGTGCAAGGGAGGCTACAGCCCTGTAGGGAAGAGCAATTTAGAGTGGCCTCCAGAAGAACTGCAAATGCTGCTCTTCATAAGTCTTGTTTCTATTCTTTTTTTTTTTTGCTCTTGTTGCATGTGATTTGCAGATATGGTCTGTTCACTCCTCTTCAGAATTTGATGCTTTTTCTTAAGTTTAGAAACTAAAACTAAAAAAAAAAAAAAAGATGTATTCTTCTCTGTGGCAAGGAGGTATGGTTAGGCATTTATCTTTTTTAAATTTTCAGAATTTGTTGGGTAGTAGTTGCTGACTGGTATTGTGAATTACAAAGATTTTTATCAAGTGATTGAAGAACCATTAATTAAAAAGCCCTGTTTAAGCAAAATGTATTTTTATTAGCACATTTTAATGTTGACAAACAAGCTTCTCTATTTGCAGACAGGACTGTAAGGTACAGATAGCTAACACTACAGAATATACTATCTATAGATAGTAAAAACACTGTGGCAAAAGAAACCAGGTTTAAAGAAAAACAACTTGGAGCCAAATAAGATGCTAGAACTTAGTAACATAACAGATAACACTTATGTTTAAAAACAGTGTAAGGTTGCATACGTACAGCTGCTGCTTTTAGGGATACGTGTATTTTTGAATTGTTTTGATTATCCTTATCTTTAACTGTACAGCTTTCCTTAAGATATAATAAATTTTTTTGGGAATTATTAATAAATAGATGAGCCTCTAAGGCCAGAACCAAGTTAAAAATAAGGATGACTTTCCTATTGTGCAGCTAAACCACTTTTTTTCCCTCCCTAGAAAGCACATTTGGTATGCTATTTTTCACTGTATAGCTATTTAATATGAATTTTCATGCCAAATGCATATGTTGTATGTAGTCTTTTGAAATATAACTATATTTTTAAGAACATTCTATATTTTGTTTAAAATGTAGCCACTCTATTTATGAATAAAAAACCAAATATTAAGTTAATTATGGTGCGATTGGTACTCCTGAAGCATCTTCCAAACTGGACTTTTTTCTATTATTTGGGCTTTTGTCATTTCCATTTTGCATCGAGTATCATCTGCTTGTGGCTTGGAAGTTACCTTAGAGAAAAGAAAAATAATATGAGTAGAACACAGTGGCTTTTAGGTGATAGAATATTCAACATTTTATTTTTCCAACAGTAGAAATGCAAAATTATTTAGCAATGAAATTTGAATTGTGTGTTCTCGAGTAGGTGTTCAGGAATGCTGTACACAGAGGTGATGGTATCTCAACAGGAGTTAACAGTAAGTGAAGACATCCTAAATAAACAATGGTAAATAGGAGCCAAACAAGCTCTTAGATATCTAATTTCTTTTCTTAGATGCTATTAAGAGCTATTAAGTTAGCTTTAACAGTAGTTTAAAGACTCAGCTAATGCATCAGAGCACCAGTCCTACCTTCTGTATTAATGGATTGTGGTCAGTTTTACCTAAAAAGTTCCATTAAGGAAAACCAAGTATTTTATAGTTCTTGGCTTTTCCTGAGTAATACACTAATATTTTTAAGTGTATACAACTGGACTTACCTTAGCCATAGTTAGCATTAATTTAACAGTTTCAGCAGGATTATGAACTGGTATTACACGTAAATTGCTGCCCAGGAATCTGTACAACAAAATAAATAAGGTTACTTTTAGAACATGTATTTAATTTGTTATGCCGTAAAACTCAAACAGCATTCCCACATGAAGTAAACAGCTTTTAGTGTGCAGTTTTACTTACAGGGAGGGCTGCTTTTATTCTGAAAGGCAAGTGCAGCATTCATGCTGTTTGTAAAGCCATCTGTCCCATTTCTGTACCACTTATTTAGATGGGATTTGGAAGGGCTCATTTCTTTATCAAGGTCTCTTCAGCAATCAATCAGCACTTCTTAAGCATGTGTACATTCAGAGAGAGCTAAACCCTCTTCTGTGATATTGCTGAAGGCTCTTCTCAGTGGCAGTAAAAAATATTTGGGTTGTTTTGTTGTTTTTATGGCTGTGGAAGAACACAGTCAAGTATCTAAAAACACTGCTAAAAATACTTCAGAATTTGAACTAAATCTTTGTAGTGTACTATAAATAAAACAACCTGTATTCCAGACACGATTAAGATAATGGGATAATTCCACTACTTTCATGTAAAGACTCGCTCACTCAATACTTTAACCTAAAATTATTTCTCTCTATAAATAGTGTTATTAATATGCATTCCTTCTTGAGAAGGGGATCTGAAGATTTAAAATAGTAGCATGAGTTGTTATTCAGTGAGATTATGGAGGAGAGACATCAAAGCTTAGGCAAGCACAGAGCCCCTCCCTAAGAATTGCACCTTAAGTGTGGTGTAATGATGACGTTACCTTTGCTGCTGTTTTCTGTTGTAGAGCTAAAACAGGAGAGGGACTCCACAACAAAGAATGAGGAATTTTAAATAACCAAAATGAATTTAAATAATGCAGATGAAGTGCCCAGCTGCTCAGTTGCATAGTCCCCTGTGACCTCCCCTTGTGCCTGCCACCTGTTCTTCCCTGCAATCTGTCTGATGACTTGGAGTCATTCACATTAAGACCTCCTGCTGGTAAGGTATCTCATCTGAACTTGTCTGCCCTTGCTTCTAATTAGCAAGAATAAATGTTACAGGCACTGTCCTTCTCGAAGCATAGGCACTCAGGTCCCTGGTGAGTTTTGTTAAAATGTGATGTAGGAACAAGGCTTGGATGTACATTTTGTGATTAGGGAAATCAATTGATGCAATTTTACTCATACTAGAATGGGCTAAACAAAGCATGAATGAACAAAGTGCAGCAAAGAAACAATGACATGTACTTACCTAGATCCATGAAAATCTGTTTCTATAAATAGTTTTGCTTCCAATAACAGCAGGTCTAAATTTAGTGTTCTATAGACAGAATACTGGTCATTTGAACACGTTTGGCCTGTCCTTCAAGGTATTTAAAAATTACCATACAGATATACTAAGGTTTTTTGTGGAATGCTCATTTAAGCTGTGATGATAAACACTAAATTTCTCCCACTTCCCCCATGCTATACACAACTCTATATCAAGTGTTCATATTATTAACAAGAATCTTGTAATTTTCTTGTTAATAATAAAAATAATCTTTCCCCAACTGCAGCAAAACCATAGATAAGCAGAAAGGAGCAGTAATAGAAGACAACCTGACAATACTAAGGGGCTTTGTTTATTAACAAATCCCAACAGGTGGCTTGTAGTTTCAAAGAACATGGCCCAAGTTTCAATCCCTCCAGGAGAAGCTCAGTCAGTGATTTACAAACAGTAGCAGAACTTCAAGCTGCCAGGTAATAAAAAAGCACATGCATTTAAACATATATATTTAATTGTCCTTTGTCAACATCAATTTGATATTGCTTGCAATGAAAAAAAAAATTAATTTTAATAAAATTACTGACTTGCCAAATGGAATACAGTTCCAAAATATCACATTTTAGTCATCAGCGTGTGCACAAAACCCATTGTTCATAACCACAAAGCAGACTGAGAATTAGCATTGCCATCCCCTGAATAACGTGGTCTTGCTCAATGGTGGCTGAACTTTTAAAACCTCTCATGGAAATTTACAACATTTTCACAAACGGGTAATAGATTTCCTACATTTCATCTCATACACTCTTTATTCATCAGCATTTGGCAGCATGCCCAGGATTTAATGGAACTGGTGCTAGTTACTTAAGGAGGTAAAGATCAAAGACTTCATTAGAATAGTCACTTCTTTGAGGGCAAGAGTGACAATCAACTGCAGTTAGGGCCACTGTACCTACAAGAAAATAGTTCTGACTGCAAGCATGGAGCACAGTCTGATCACTGTTGTCAGCCAGTATGTACTAAAATATGCAGGTTTTCAGAATCCATTAGAAATTAGAGATAAAGGTTTTAAACAAACCAGTTTTAATATAATTTTATACTTTTGGTGTAAAATAACATTGATTATTTAATTGTTCTAGCATAGTGTAACAGATGCTGTTCCAAGTAAACATTTGAAAAGCTGGTGAAAAATCTGCACTTTACAATACAGCCTTTTCTCATGACATAAACTCGTCTGCTCTATTTTGAAATTACTATGAAAATATGGTTATAGAGCTAAGAAAATTGTCCAATTTTCCAATTAGAAAAAAATTTAAAAATAGTTACACTATGTAACCCTAAAATGATTGAAAGGAATCTTATTTGATATGTTTTGAGGAACATCCTGTTTTGTTACCTGTGATATGTCAGATTGATTCACTTGGTATTCTTTTTATTTCCTATTAACAAACAAATGCTTTAAAATTTTTACAGTGCATTAGTAAAATAAAGTTTGTGTATTGCTGAAATAATTCACAAAGGGTAAGGTTGGAAAGAACCATAGTGTGTCAACTCCAATCTCCCTGCTCAAGCAGGGTTGTCCCAGAGCACACTGCACAGGATTGCATCCAGATGGTTCTGGAATATCTCCATGAGGGAGACTCCACATCCTCTGGGCAATCTGTTGCAGTGCTCAGTCATCCTAACAGTGAAGAAGTTCTTCCTCATGTTCAGGTGAAATTTCCTGTGCATCAGTTTCTCTCCATTGCCTCTTGTACTATTTATTCCTAAAATAATATTTCTGAATCCAAGACTGCTATTTCATTTCTTCTTAGCAATATAAAGTTCAGTTTACTGTTGAAATCATACCTTCTCTGAATGCTGAACATGATACTCCATTCTTCTGGTCCATGAAGAGCAGCTGACAAAACCAAAAAGCTGTTCCGATGGATGTTTATGAACTTCTGAATTCTTTTGGAAAACTCTTCTTCCCCTGTCCTGAGCAAGTCTTGGGTGTCTGACAGTATAAATGCAATGCCTATTGAGGAAATTGCTGTAAGTGTACAGGTCATGGCAGTAATGGGATGAAGTTCTCACCACAAACTGGAAAGCATAATTCTTGAAGCAACCATTAGTTTGAAACACAGTGGAATAGAACATGAATGAATTTCCACATCTCAGACAGGGAGACTTGGCCAGTGATTACTAGTAGTTTTAAGATAAAATTTAAAGTGTTTCAGGTTATTTTTCTACCATAACATCAAAAAACCACCAGCTATTCCATGTACTCAAAGCAGACACATCTGAATGCCTTTGAGAGCACATGCTTCAGGAACAAGCAACTGCTATAATGGAATGAATTTGGGGCAAATGCAAAGGCTGACTGAAAAGCTCAGGAAGTCCTGTTTCTAAATGAAAGAAACAGTTGCAAAATGTTGAAAGTTAGCTAAACTGTCTGCCATGAAAAATGAACTTATATATCTGTCAACTTAAATTGTTCTGAAAGGGAAAGTTAAGGCTGAGGTTTAGGAGGGT